CTACTCAGCACCTGCTTCCCAAGGCAGCAGGAGCCTTCAGCTAGAGAGGCATGTGGTGAGGGGCCCAGTATTTGACTGAGCTGGTATATGGATGAATGGTGAATCAGTGGACTATGACTGATATTCCCTGGGGTTTCAATGGTATTTGGAAAGGGGGACACATAGGGGTCTCACATCTTAAAAGGAAGTGGTTTTCCGGGGCACTTCCATTTCTGTGGTAGCTTTTGGCATGGAATTGAAGCCACACATAAAATAGATGACTTAGGCTTACTCCCCAGGAGCCCCTCAGCCCTTCCATGCCCCTGGAAAGGGTTCAGTGCTAGGATTGTACCTCTGTGGTAGGTTCTTGTGTTGAAGGCTCACACTACTTGGAGGGCTTATCTCTGCTGGAAGTAGAACAGATGGAGGCACAAAAGCCAGTGGAGTAAGTTGGAGCATTCCCTGCCTCTCTCCCACCTGACGGGAGGGAGAAGCTTGGGCTGAAACTGACCCCATCCTCAGTCCTCTCTCAAGGGCCTTTCGTTGGGGTGGCAGCCTCTCTATCCCTGAGTCTGCAAGACCCCACTACCTAGGTACAGGGGCGGAGGATGTCTCTCTTTGCTGAGCTCAGGACAAGCTGTGTGGCTAAACTAAAGGACTTATTTGTTGGATCTCAATGTTCTCTGAAAAATGGCTCTGCTGCATAATATGTAGGCTTCTTTCCCAGCTTTAAACTTCGAAACCAGAGCTGCGCAAAGCCTACTAGATAAGACAAGACTGGGAAACTTCAAGCCCCAGCTCGAACAGTTATGGGATGCTGTCTTCATATGTAAATCAGGGCTAGTAACACCCCACAAGGTTGTCGATAGGATGAAGAGAAGTACCGCTATATTTGTCAAAACTTGGTAAGCCATGAGGCTTTATACAACTGAGGGGGCTTAGGAATCTCTGAATCTGAGAAAGAGAACTGCATGGAAGTCGGGACGTATTGGACTGTAACTCTTGGGGAGCTAGGCCTATTTACTTTTCTTTTAAACTAAATTGTTTAGGTCTACAAGTGGATGACAGCTGCCTGGCTGCTGTTTATTTGACACTGAGGAGATATTTGTGTATCATTAAACACTCAGGAGAATCGGACTGCAGCCACCTCTTGATAACCTTGAAATGTAGCCTGGTCATGGGCATCCTACGTTCTACTTCACACTAAGGGACACTGCTCCTCTAAGGGTTGGGCTTTCCGGAAGAAGTATGAGTTGGGGAATCATTTCTGCCATTAGTTTAATATTTTGGAATTCAGAAGAGCCAGAGTCAGCTCAGAATTGCCCAGGGATAAACTCTTCAGCCTGCTGTGTTTACCACTAACTTACGGATTCCTCTGTTCCGAGTGGGAAAGGGATATTGGGAACAGAGAAAACTCAGAATTCTCTATCAGGTACCATTTTTTTCACCCTCTCAGAATCTTAACAAAGGATCCCTAAGGCTTCAGTTGGTGCCAATTTCTCTCTCTTTCCAGTGATGGGAAATAACTGGTTCCCCTCGTCTTCAATGTAGATAGTCTTACAAGGGTGAAGAATTGCCACGGACTAGCTGTTGAGCTGAAACAAAGAAACGTTCTAGACTTTGAGGGATAGATTTGATTTAAACTATTTTATGTTTTGATCAGGCGAGGGACAGAAATTTTTGGTTTGGAAACTATGATCATCATGATTTTAGCATCCTCATGTCTTTTTTTTTTTTTCTTCAGAGATGGGGTCTTGTCTGGAGTGCAGTGGCAAGATCAGAGGTCACTGCAGCCTGCAACTCCTGGCTTGAACAATTCCCCCATTTCAGCATCCCAAGTAGCTAGGATGTGTCACCTACAAGCATGTGTCACCACACCTGGTTAATTTTTATTTTTATTTTTGTAGAGATTTTCATATGTCACCAGGCTGGTCTCAAATCCCTGGGCTCAGGTTATCCTCCCACCTCAGTCACCTACGGTGTTGAGATTATGGGTGTGAGCCACCACGCCTGACCCTCATATCCTTTTTATTTACTCCTGAAGGTATTTCATTTCTAGCGTGGCTCATTCTCTGTCTTTCCTCCTGAAAGTGATACTGCCCTACTCCCTTCATTTTGAACTTAGGCTCATCAAGATACCTTGTTTTGGGGGCGGTTTAATCCAATCTCCCTTGGAATCTTGGTGAGGAGCCTCAGAGGCAGAGAAAGGACAGTTTTGCACATCCCCAGGCTGTGCACGTGGCTGAGGAGCTACCTGTCCTTCCTTGTTCTAAAGTCTCCCACTCTGGCTATGGGGAGAAGAGAGAAGGCGACGTTTGGCAGCTCTCTGAGGTACACTTTTATTTTTGTAGGTTTTTTTTTTTTTTTTTTTTTTTTTTTTGAGGGCAAGAATATTCCTCTAAGCTTCAGAAGCTTTTCAGAAAGTAGAGTATGCCTCTTCTCTTATAGTTCGTACCTTCTAGGATCTCCCTTCTAAGACCTGCTAAGCAGAATTCAGTTTTATTGACTGGCTTAGACTGATGGACTCAGTACCAGCTGCCTTGCAGGCTAATGTGACACTGCTTACTGTTCACTGGTGGCATTCTCCAATGACTGGGGTAACAAAAAGGAAGAGGCCTGGAATAGGAATAAATCTAACTGGTTGTTCACAGCCACCCCCGCACCCCTGGGAACTGTCCCATGCATGGCCATTTCTCCGCACTTGCACTGTGCACACTGAGTGCTCAGAGGCTGGTCACAAAGGCCACGTGTTGGCGCTTCTTCAATATCCTTACTATAATTATGCACATGCTTTTAGAGAACTCCTTAGAAGTGGGTTTGCTTTGACTTGAATAAGATAATTAGTTTATAGACAGAAAATATATACTGTTTTAATTTTTCCAACTTGAGTAAGGATTGCTTTGGGAGTTGTGTGCAGTGTGTTATAAAAATAACTTCTTTTAATTATATTTATTTACTTAATCACACAGATGATAGGTGAGTGGGGTTTTGAGACAGCCTGCAGAATTGCCCCAAAGCCTCACATTTGTACTGTGCCTTATGATTTATAGTGTAATTTCACATCCAGTCTTTTTTTTTTTTTTGAGATGGAGTCTCACTCTGTCACCCGGGCTGGAGTGTAGTGGCGCTGTCTTGGCTCACTGCAGCCTCTATCTCCTGGGTTCAAAAGATTCTCCTGCCTCAGCCTCCTGAGTAGCTGTGATTACTGGTGCACGCCACCATGCCCAGCTAACTTTTTGTATTTTTAGTAGAGACAGGGTTTCACCATGTTGGCCAGGCTGGTCTCAAACTCCTGACCCCAAGTGATCCGTCTACCTTGGCCTCTCAAAGCGTTGGATTATAGATGTGAGCGACTGTGCCTGGTCACATCCAGTCTCATGTTTGCAAGGAACATTTCGAGGTTTTGTATGCCTAGTAAGAAGCAATGCTGGGTATCTATTTTAGATCTTCAAGTTTCATGTTTTGTGCTTTTTACAAGTGCATTGAGAAAAATCATATGATGAAGTCAAAAGAGCCATATTGGGATCCTTATTTTAATACTTAGCAGCTGTGTGAACTTGAGGAAGTCATTTTATTTTTCAAAGCTGCAGTAAATGGAATCTCCATGGATTGTGGTAAAGCTAGTAAACGATAAACCTAATTCTGCTCTGAAATGTATAAAGTGTAGATCTGAAGCCTTTATGGAATAGAATGCCTGTTAATGCATAGACTAAAGGAGGTGCCTGTAAAGGCCAAAAATATTATCTTTATTAAATGCAGTAATTGATAGCTGCTTCTTGGTATAGCCCAGACATACAGTAAACAACTCTATCCTCTTGGTTCCCCTCATCTGTTCTTTTTTTTTTCCCCTCCCATAGTACTTCTCACTGCCTAATATATACAATTTCTTTATTTATTATGTCTACCATCTATCTTTCCTCCCACTAGAATGGAAACTCCAGAAGGGATGGATTTTTGTCTGTTTGGTTTGCTGAGGAGTTCCTTGCATCTAAAAGTCTGGCACATAGCTGTCACGTAATAAGTGCTTGCTGAAACAGTATATCCTTTTGCTCTGCAGATCCCTCCAGTGATCTCCTTTAGTTATGAAAACGTAGGGTCTCAGGGAGAAGAAGGGCATAGAGGACATGGAACACTTCATTAATTTGTAAAGGGAAGCTGGAACTTTCTGCAAGGCAAGTAACTGACAGCTCAGCTCCTCTTCCTCAAGGTTTGAAACAGGGATTCCCATGGGAGCTCTGAGGGGGCCCACACGTGAGCCGGGAGCCGAGGAAAATTGGCAGGTCACCAGCTTGGGGAGGACAGCAGTTTAGGTTTTTGACTTGGATGTAATGAACAAACCTAGAGATTTGTGAGGGAGTCTATTTCTGCACAACTTAAGAATGATTCTGGACAGGCCTCCAGTACTGGCCCCCCTGCATCATTCTGCTTTGAGAATAATGAATTGGTGTGCCAGAAGCTATACCAAGGTGACAACTTGTGTCCCGGGCTTCCTGGCTGCAATGAACTTTAGGCAGAGGGCAGGGAAGGCAGGAATAGGTTCGTATGCCCCTGTTTTCTGCTTGGGGTTTTGAATCTCTTGGGACTGAGTTCAGGACCCAGGGTTTTTGAGAAATTGGAAGTAGATGGTCTGGGAAAACCTTAAAAAGGGATTACTGTGCTCTCTGCTAACAAAATATATGATGGTTCAGGTAATGCCGAAAAAGTAAAAGAAATGTGACCATATATGTAACATGGCAGGCTATACCATTTCTTCATGTACGTAACAATAAATAAATAGTTTTGTTTGAATATTGTCTTTGCTCCCCCAAGTGACTTCTTTAAATATATGACAATTTGGTTTAAAGAAAATCAAACACATCCTTGTTCTCTTTTCCAAGTTAACATGGAACTTAGTTTTTTTTTTAAGTGAGAAAGAAATACCGCTTATATTTTCAGTTTGCCTCAACTGTCACTATATTCTACCAACCCTCACTCATACATTTGAGCTGTATATATACACACATACATACCGCAGTGTGTTTAGCAATTGCCAGTTCCTTATTTATTTCTTGAAATGAATGAACTAAGAAAAAAGTGCCAATTGTTCTTTCCAGAGATCATGCATTCTGATAGAGAAGATGCAGGAATCCCTTTTCTAAAATGCGTCAACAAAGCTGCTTGCTCCAGACTTGAGCATGTGCTGCTCAGGTGACCTGGTGAGGGTAGAGGGGTGACTTAGGTTAGACTTATGTATATTTAAAAATACTCCCTCACCCCACGACATGCATGACAGATTCTTTTCTTAAATCTTTTTTTCCAGGAGTGATAACCACTATTTACCATTCTTTATTTCAATATCTGGATCTCCTTGCTCTCCCTCTTTTGACTGGTGTGTGTGTGTGTGTGTGTGTGTGTATGACAGAGAGAGAGAGAATGACTGACTGAATAAATGTGAGTTAGTGACTCTCAGCCCTCTTAAAACTGCCAACCCCATGGAAGGGTCACATATCTTGTGGAAAGGTCAGAGTGCAAGTGGTGGGGAGGGTAGGAGGGCTCTGATAGGCTGGGGCTGACAGGGCCATGGTCTTCAGTCCTGCCAACCTCCATAGTTTTCAGAATCCAAGTACATTTCAAGACCTCTCTCCCAACCCTGCAGTTCCCACTCTCATCCCCACAAGAGTGGGAACTGCAGGGTGGGGGCAGAGGGGTTGGTATATTTACAGATACCAACACTCAGGGAGAGAAGGCAACATTCCAGAAACCTAACTGCCTTCAGGAACTCAGACTTTAAGATGACCTGTTTTGGTCAGATCCTAGGTTGCAAACATTAAGCTAAAGGAAATCATTTAGCAAAAGCAAAGCAGATTCTGGTCAAGGGTGTTCCAGGAAGAAATAGTAGTAGGAAAGAGATGGAAAGGCAAGCTGTATCCTCTGATTCTAGAATGTTCTCTTCCTCCCAATTTCACAGCACCAAATCATAGATGAGGAGAGTGCTATGTTCCAGTATTTGCATCCCCCACAAATTCTTATGTTGAACTCCTAACCCCCATGGTGATGGTATTAGGGGGTGGGGCCTTTGGGAGGTGATGAGGTCTGGAGAACAGAGCTTTTGTAACAGAGGCCCAAGGAGGCTCATTTGTCCTTTGCGCCACCCGAGGACACAGCTAGAAGGTGCCAAGTATGAACCAGAAAGCAGGGCCTCACCAGTCATTGAATCTGCCAAAGCCTTGATCTTGGACTTCCCAGCTTCCAGAACAGTAAGAAATACATTTCTGGTATTTATATTGTAACCAACTTATAATATTTGGTTATAGCAGCCCCAAAAGACTCAGACCAAAGCGTGTCATTAGGGAGAAGGGTAAGGATCCCTTCCTTTCCGTTATAGTTGTCCATGCTTTTTCTCATCTTAGAGTTGTCTTTTGGACCAAATTCAATGGCAACATTGTGCCTTAGCCTGCCAGGGCTTTCCTAGCTGGGCAGGATTCCTGCATCTGCCCTCTGTATGCTCCAGAGCTTGCTTGTTCCTGGGGCCAGCCCCAGGTTTTGTAGAAAACCAGGCACTGCATCTTTAAGGACCAAATTAAAGAGAAAACATATTTTGTTGTTGTTGTTGAATACACACTGTATTTAACATTTTTTTTAATCCCAGAGAAGTGAAATGCAACATCTGTTTGAGTTTATGTAACATCTGAAGACCGACAACTCAGAATTTCCTAATTAAAGTCATTTTTAAGGCACTCTGCAGAGCCAGCTTTCATCTCTTCCTTCATTGGGTTTTTCTCCAAACTGTAGCAGAATACCTGGTTTCTCTTTCTTCAAAGTGATACACACATGCTCATGCCTTAACCTGCTCTTCTGTCCTCCAGGACAGCGAAACACAGCACAATTCCAAGGAGGAAACGGTAAAAGAAGGAAATACATGGTGGTGGGGTGGCAGGGGGGAGCGGGGTAAGGAGAGAGCAGAGAGGACAAGCACAAGTAAATTAACTGATACGGTCGGTCGTAGCTGAAAAGAGAAGGAGCAGAAGGGAAATTGAACAGGGTGGGGTGGGCCAGATGGCTGGCAGCCGGTGAAAAAATAGGCTACGTTTCCCAGTGAGATCTAAATTAATTTAGCTAGTTCTCTTTTTCATTTTTTTTTCATTTTTAAAGATAGGGCCAAGGCAAGGGAGGTATCTCAGAATTATGGAGGGTGTAATGTAGGTAAGTGTGCTTGCTCGTGCTCATGCACTTATGAAGGGCTGCGATTAAAGACAGGTATGACTTGGGGGCTCTAAAATGCCCTCCTGATACAAAAGAATCTTCTTTACTGGCCCACTTCTGTGCCTGAAATTCCCACCACTACAGCCACTCTTTCGGATTAAGGCATTATCAGTAGCCCCTATTAAAATGTAAATGTCACCTGGGAAGGGTAACACTCGACTCTAGCACCCACTGACTGAACAGTCACCTATCAGAGAGTAGGACCCTGAGAGATGGGACGCAGGGCAGGGACATTTGGACCAATGGTGAGGAAGGCTTGGTGGTGTGGGATGCTGGAGAGGGAATGGCTGGGCAGCTGAGAGGAATGTGTGAAATTGTGTGCCCCGGGAAATTACTTCGATGGAGGAGATGGGACGGCAAAATGAACTTAACTACATCACAGGTTTCCCTAGGCTTTCTGTGTGTGTGTAGTGTATCTAACAGTTTGTATGGATTATACATTCTGTGTATATACCTGATATGGAATTCACTGGGGCCCATCATGAACATAGTATAGTGAAACTCCATCAAGTGAAAGACAATGAAAGCCCTCAATTGTTTTCATGTAAAATGAAGTCTGGCATCTCTATAGATCTAGATGGTTTGTATGTAGTGTGTGTACATGTACATGTACACACACACACACACACACACACACACACACACACCCCTACTCATACTCAGCAGTGGAGATCTTGTAGATGTGAAGGGTGAGATGCCTCTTCTCAGCCATCTAGGATTTGAATGCATAACAGTTGCTGTATTGTGCATCCAAATCCTAGATGGCTGAGAAGGTTGGCTGTTGGAAAAAGGACTTGCCTGGGGGGGCATTGTGACCCCTTCCTCTGTTAACAGTAGACCCTCATTCAACTCAACTGGCTCTGCAGAAATGGCCAAGGCTTGGGTTATATGACTTACATGGGCCATACCATCAAGAATGGGGCCTGGAGACAGAAATGTCGCCAAAGTGCCCTTTAAACTTTTGGAGTTTGGGCACCTGGAGAAGGTGCAGGTGGACAGAGAATCTTGCAGGGGATACGTTTCTGCTCCTAGAAAAGCTCGAAACTGTTTGGGAGCAGCCCCCAGGCTAGATGCAGGAACCAGCCTCAGAGTACCACTCATGGGACCTACCCCCTCTGCAGGGATCTGCTATGGTTGGCTGAGCTGAGGGGGAAGGTTCAGGGAGGAGAAAGGGCTGGAAGAATGGGAAGAGGACTCCGAAGAAAGCTTGGAAAGTAAAAATGAAAGGATCTGGGTGGGGAGGGGCAAGGGAGAGGTGATATTAGAACTTCTCAACCCTGTTTTCACAGAGTCATCTGGGTAACTTAAAAAACTCTGATGCCCAGGATCTACCCTTAGACGCTATGATTGGTTTGGGCAGGGGACCAGGCATGGACGTTTTTTAAGCTCCTCAGATGATTCTAATGTGCATGTGATGTTAAGAATACTACATCAGAGCAGAATGAGAAGTTTTGTTCTGCACTGTTAGGCTGAAGGTGGCTGGCCAATTCCCACCCGAGTAAAGGAGCATGAGTGGACTGGTGCAAGGTGGTTGGGTGGAGGCAGGATTCTGAGAGCTGTCTGGACAGTCGAGCCTCTGCTGATTTGTGTGGCTTTACAGCCTTATGAGCTGGTGGTTTCTAATCCAATGTCTGGCTGAAAATGTGGCTGCGGTGGAGGTGTTGGGGCGTAAGGAGAAAATTTTCCCTCTCTATTCTGAAGCTTCAAAGAGAAATAGTTCACTGTGCTCTATGGGGCCAGGAAGACAAATCCTGGGGCTGATGCTTCAAAAATGGAAATGGATTGAGTGTTGTATAATAAATATAAATAAATAAATCAGTAAGCAAGCCAATAAACAATGCACACCATTTTTGCCCTCTTATGGTGGTTTTCCCCTCACCCCACTGATCCTGGTGACTTACATTCTGCCCCTGGTCACCTGAAGGCACCCAGCCTAGCCGTGGAAGAGGGAACAAGATGACTGCCTTGGCCCTGGCTCTCTGAGGATCAGAGAACTTAGAGAAACCTAGAGAGGCCACCCACATGGAGGAGGAGGAGGAAGGGAGATACATATTCCCCATTTCCCATCCAAAAGCGTAGGGAGGGAAGGCAGGGTTTGGGAACCAAGGCTGGGTCATGTTAGGTATTTAAAGTCCAGGCTGACCAGCTCTTCATCCCGAGGAGGCTTCACTCTGAGGGTTGGGGAAAGGACTTGAGATCACAATGAACCCCATCTTTCCACACACAAAAAGATACAGCAGGCGCACCCCCCACTTCAACACAGCTCCCGATGAGCCAAGCAGGCAGCCCAGTCAGCTCCGGGCAAGTGCTGCACAGCCCACGGAGGGTGGGTAGGAGGGACTGGTCATGGGATGGGAGGAAGGCGAGGAGGTAGGCAGGATGGCACTCGTTTTAATGGGAAATCAGCTGTCCAGGGCTTCAGCTTCTGGAGCCGCCAGCCATTGCTCACTTCCTCCTTCTCACTCTGCCATGTGGTTGTGCTTGCTGGGCTTTCCTTGTCCTACTAGGAGACCTGTATGTGGATACGGAAACATGTAAATAAAGCCGGCATTAAGACAGTGATCAAAGAAAAGTCATTCCCTAAAAGCAGATGGTCATGATCTGGACTCCATTAATAGATTTCAAGGGGAGATGACCCTGAAACTTTATGCAAAATTTTTGGTCTTTATTTTCATATGCACTTCTCTGCAAAGAGAACCTATAACTGGCTGGGCACAGTGGCTCACACCTGTAATCCCAGCACTTTGAGAGGCCAAGGCGAGTGGATCACAAGATCAGGAGTTCAAGACCAGCCTGGCCAAGACAGTGAAACCCCGTCTCTACTAAAACTACAAAAATTAGCTGGGCGTGTGACAGTGACTGTAATCCCAGCTGCTTGGGAGGCTGAGGCAGAGAATCGCTTGAACCCAGGTTGCAGTGAGCCAAGATCGCGCCACTGCACTCCAGCCTGGGCGACAGGCGAGACACTGTCTCAAAACCAACAAAACAAAAAAAGAATCTGTAACTTTCATATCGTTATTTTTAAAAAGATTAAAAACAAAATATTAAAGAATTACAGGTCATTTATATGTGAAACCCATTAGTAACATACCAAGCAATCCCCAGAAATGGGGGAGGGGAGGGGAATCTGAGATTCCTGATCTGATGGCATTGTTTTTTAGCATCCAAAGTACAAAGGGACTTGCAAGAATCACTGAGACCGGAGCTCTGTAGCTTACCCAATATTCCTGTGCAAGGGGTTCACACCATGACTGAACTAAAACTGTTTTATTCCAGAGTCCAAATCACATGAGATAAAACTCATTTCTTGAATATGCAACATTAGAGAAAACTGAAGTTATTCAGTTATTCAACCTGAAGTTGTTATGTAATAATTGTGGCCGTAACAAAGTGGGTGAACTAAAGTTTAAAAATAAAAAAAAAAAGCAGTCTTGAATATATGAAGGGAGTTGCTCTAGGGTAAAGTGAAGCATCAGGCATCCTCCTCTTTTTTTCCTTGATCATTCTTCTGTTTGGTATCTTAGAATTTTTGACATGCTTGGTTTGCTTACAGGGATGCACTGCTATAATGGCACAATTTTTTTTAATAATTATAATTATAAATTAATTAGTATGTTACCTTTTTGTATTCTATGTATGTTTTCAATTTTAGGAAAAAAACCAAATTTCAAATTCTTATGTAGACAGTAAAGAAAACTTGTTCCAATTGTTTGAAGTCAGTAGACATCCCCATTACATATACAACTGGGGACATAATAGCCTAGAAGCCATTCTAGAAAGCATTCCTCCGCATTCCCTGTGCTGTGGAATGGGTGCCATGCTCTTTGGTATCAATAAATGCTACTTTCCCTTCCTTCAATAATGAGAGTGGTTAGAATTGGTCAGAGGCACTGACTGTGGCAGGCTTTACCAGCCCTCAGTACCTTGTGTGACAAAGAATGACAGAAATGGCAAGTACAGAGGGGGAGTGCGTGCCGCACAATGTGGCTGCACCGTGTGCAGAGGTCTTGAGACACCCTGAGTCTGCCTATTGCTCCTGGACCATACTGCAGAGATGCCTGTGTGCAAGTCACATCACCACAATGACTGCTTTATATCATCACTTCATTATATCATTTGTTATATTTATTACGCAATAAGGGTGTCTCTGGGTTAGGATAATTTTTCTGCAGAAAATATTTGGTGTGTTTGTAGTGTATCAGTTTTCTCTAAGGCAAGGCACAGAGGCTCAGAGCTCTCCATCAAACGTGCTCTCACAAGCCTAAAAACTTTGAGGGTGAATATGGTACAGAGATTGGCCTTCTTCCTATTTCACAGATGGAAAAGTGAAGATCCCAAAGACGGCCTGCATCAGACTACCATCAAGCCAAAATCGGGCCTAGGGGTCTCAGGTCTTCTGGTCCATGAGACCACCCTGTGCCAATGAACACTGCATTTGATACTGAGAGCAGGCTTGGAGAGATCTAATTCTGCTGAGGAGAAAAAGACAGGACCGTGTCAGGCTGCAGAGGGTTTGGAATCCAACTGGGTTTAAAGCCGCTTATTCGTTCACAACAAATGCCCTATTTCCCTTCTGATGAACGTGCCTGAAGAAGACAATTTCCTTTGTTTGATTTTGTGAGTGGCTCCTGGGAACAGATGCTTTCTTGCTATTTCAGAACACTAAGGAAATTTTTTTAGGTGAGACAGATGAGTCTTTAGTTCCCTGATGCATGTGCGTGCACAAAGAGGTGGGTGGGGTAGCCTCTCAGTCCCTGTTCATCTGATATGCATGTGCAGAGTCTTTCTTTCTTTCCTAATTAATTAGAAGTAATAGCTTTCCATAGTTTCTGGTACATGAGCGAGTAAAGTGGGAAATAATTTAATTGGCTGTCTTGCTTTCAAAGCCCAGTTTAATGAAATAGTTCTCAGCCTGAAGTGCATGTGTTATCTTTCCTGTTATTTTTCCAATTAACATTTCATTGGATCACGTCTGTGTGGAATATTCTAATTGGTTTGAAGGGCGGGGTGAGGGGACAAGAGCAGATGGAGAGATAGCCAGCTGTTTCTTTCATCCCGGGTGCCTGCTCTCGTACTGATGTGGCTGTAGGTTTTTCCCAGCGCCTTTCCTTGGAAGAACTCAAAGTGATTGACAAAAGTCCTGCCTGTCACCTTACTCATCCTCATGGAGCCCCTGGGCCAGAAAGGCAACATCTCCTCATAGGCACACTGGCTGGTGCACCTGGATATAGAGAACTAAGGGGGCATTTCCCTAGGTTTTGGAGTCCTCTATGATGGATGAGCCCAAGGGGGGAAAAGAAACGGCTTCTAAAGCTTCCTGTGGAAATTGTCTCCCTGAGGGCGGACTCTGTTTAGCCTGGCACATAGGAGACAGCATAGACTTGTTGACAGAACAAGTATTCAGAGGGATCCCACAACAGCCCCCCTGCTCAGATCTTCTTGTGAAGAGGGCAGTGAGTTAGAGGTGGGCATGAAGCAGGGCTGGGACTGCGGGAGGCAAGCCAGGTGCCTAGGGTCCCTGTGCACAGCCTGAGAGTGAGTGCCTTCTTAAATACTGGATCTTATGAGACCAGCCTGGGCAATATAGCAAGACTCCAGCTCTGTCAAAAAATAATAAAAATGTTGTGGATCCTAGTGCCTGCTTGGCTCACCCAGTCCCAGGACTGGCATGAAGCAAACATCCTCTCCTTCTTTACGTTTCCTCTCTGTTCCTAGTCATGTTGGCCCTCAGCCAGCCTGAGCCCAGCCCTAGGCTCAGCGATCTCACTATCCAAATACTTCATGGCACTAGCTGTATCCCTCATAGTCCCCAGTGAGGTCCATGTGGCACTGGGTCGTGCTCTGTGTCTCTGCCCTCTCCCCTCATTGCTGTAATTCTAATGTCTGTTTTCCCTTCTCCTGGGCATTTCTGACCTAGCACTCAGCTGTTTTGCGGATCAACCCGTTTTCTGGGTTAGCCAAGGACAAATGTGGGCCTGGAGGCAGAGGAGGGGCTCCTATGCTTGGCCACATGGCCTGCTGCCCAGAGGCCTGGTTTCACATTTGTCCTAGTGAGAACTGGTTAGCTTCTCTTAGGGACCATTCCCAGGCCCAGCTGGGGGAGAGGCACAGTTTAGGGTATGGGGCCAGGGAGTCCTTGGGAAGCAGCCCTGAGGCAAACTGTGTGGCTGGTCCATGTGGGGCCATAGGGAATGGGGCTGACTCGGGCAGGTGCAGAGAGACACAGGCATTCATCATATGTGCCTCCAGTGTGGTGACACAGCCTGGGCTGCAGGGTACGAAGAAGTATTTCTTCATTTGATTTGCACCCACATGGCCAAATCTGAAATACCACCGTTAAATTGTGGGGTCCCAGCTAAGATCTGGGGCATCAAAAGCTGTGTAGAGACCCACAAAAAAGTTTGAATATATATATTTATTTTTTCCTCTGTATCTTGTTTGAGCCCATAACAGAAAAAATGTAGCTGTTCCTGGCTGGTTTCTCTAGGTTTAAACTAGGCCAATTGGGGTGCGATTTCAAGTCTGGCCTAGACTTGACATTACAGCCTCCTTTCCTTTCCAAAAGGCCTCTTGGAGTTCCAGCTACACATTCTTTCTAGAGCTGCTTTCTGCAGTGCTATGCAAAAATCTTTCCCTGACCACCAGGGTTCAGGCCTCCCTGAACAAGCAAGGTGGCGGGAGGAAATGGGGACGCAGAGCCCACCACTCTTCGCAGGGGCCGGGCCTCGCTTGGCAGGAAGAGTGGGTTCTCCTGAGATGGTTTTGGGCTTCCAAGTAGATGAGGCCAGAGGGCCTGCCATCAGCTTCAGGCCCTGTGATTCTACTCAAGTCGCAAAATCTTACATGAGGCAGCACATTAGACAATTTGGAGTATTTTCAGACATCATCCACTTTCTCTCTCCGAATGTGATGCTGGCTGGGCTGTACTAATATCTCAGTTAACAGAGAAGGAAACTAAGGCTCAGAAAAGTTAAATGATTTGTTCAAGTCCAGCTACCAGCAGGATCTCCAAGATCTCAAGTCATGCTGATGTCCTGGGCTCTGAGCTCCTACCTCAGAGCACCCAAGTGGACCTCCCTTCTAATGTGGGATGGGAGAGAAATCACTTGAAGCCACAGGCTGGGCCACCTGAACCCAGACCCCTCAGTAGAACATATTCTTTCAGGTTAAAGGGCATCCGGAGATCGGTCAGGGCACGCGTGTCAAGATTCCCTTTGCTAGTCAGCCCTGCCTGAGGAACAGTAGTGGCTGGACAAGCAGAGGAGGCTGCCTGCATTTAACCAGGGAGAGAACGTTGTGTGAGAATGGAGGAAAGGTCTGGGGCAAAAATACCTGTGTGCAGAGGGCTTAAATTCTTAGCACACCACTAAGTACGCTAAGTGACTTGGACAAGTCACTTGAGCTTTCTGCTTCAAATTCCTCATTATAAAGTGGGGATATAATGCCAATCTTACAGGACTGTTGAGGATAAAATGGCAAAATATTTGTGTCTGTAATATGTAAACTGTAACACGCTCATCAGATGGGAGTCATTGCTATTAATAACAATGACAGAATGATCAGGCCGATACTAAGATTTTCAATCTTGAACAGAGATGCTACACAAAGGGAATGAAAGTGTTTATACATAAAAGGAATTTTAGAAGCCTTAGGTTGGTGATGGGCTCTGTCATGGGTGGGTGCACTGCTGACCTGGGTAGGGGATGACACTCCATCTCCCCAGATGCCGTCCTGTGAAAGTGTTTGGAATGGCCAAATAACCTTGACTGTCCTCTGGCCACTGAACTGGCAACTCTCCTGATGGCCTTCCATAGGCAGATGTCCTTCCAGGGAAACTGGAACCAGATGTACTCAAGATCTCAAAAGAAATTAATGGCAATAAGACTCTGTGGTAAAAATATCTGTGTGCACAGAGCTTGCTCACTCAGCTCCCTTTCTATCTAAGGATCATTTAGGCTTAATTATAGAGTTCAGGCATTCATTGGGTTTTTGATTAATTTTCTTTTCAGTTTGAAGAGTGTGTGAGTGTGATGGGTCTGTTTGTGTGTTTACATCTTTCTTTGCAACTCAGTTGGGAGCTGGCTCTTGCAATGTTTAATTGTGCCCTCAGTTCTAACAAGCATGTTCAATGTGCCAACCAGGGCTTAGAAAGCCATTGTTTCTACTGCTCACCCCCCAAAGGCTGCTCTTGCCATGTTGAGGGACGGCGGGTGGCAGGGCCTTGTTCGGCTGGGACCTCAGCTGCAGGATGCATGCTTTCCTTCTCCTTTTTGGCCTTGTGGCGTTTAAGGGACTCTGAGACCAGGAGAGCAGATTCCCTATTCCACTGATTACCAGTACTCTGCTAAGAGCTGTTGAGTGACAGCTAGCTCACCTACACTGCAGCCTGTCAGGCATTATTTTCTGGGCTAACCTCTGAAAGGACTTCTTTGCAAAAGAAAGCAGCGTTTGTTCTCTTATGTTTAATATGTCCATTTAATAGATTGGGAGAGACTGCATGACTATGTAAATGAAAGTGACTAGCTTTCTCCTTTTTCTTTTGTGCCTTCTGGGCAGGGATGAAAAGGAGAGGCAGAACAGGATAGTGGAAGAGCATAGAATTTGGAAAAGGCCCCAATTGAATCCTGGCTTCTGATATTTTTTTGTTTGTGTATTCATGGGTATGTCACTTAACCTCTTTGGTCTCAATTTGTTATCTGAAAATGGGGACAATAACATTCCTTAGGAGTATTACACTCCTCATCAGAACGTCTGGGGATGAGAAAATGCATGTGGAAGTCTTCTGTAAAAACACTCTATAAGTCATAGTTCTTTTATTTTACTGATCAGAATTGCTGCTTAGCACACTATTTTGACCTATGAGATACCATTCCAGCAGCAGGAGAGAGGGAGTTGTAAAAAGGTCCATGGAATGGGAGGTGGGTAGGGGACTAGCCTCTAACCTTCTCATGCGCTGTGGGCTACAGCAATGACCCAGGAATGTAACATGCATGCAGCAAAGGGCCCAGATTAAGGGTTTACCCTCCAAACAGCTGTCACAGATAAAAGGGAATCTGGAACATTCAGATTTTCTTTTACATAATAGTAACAGAGATTTTCTCTTGTTCTTTAAAGGATGGATCCAATTGTCTCTAGTTTTTAGACTCACTGGTTTGTGGGTGAATGGATTAGGGATAAAGATAATGTTCTGGTTGGAGACAAGAGGCTGTGGGTCCTAGCTAAGTGTGACCATGTTGTGAATGAGATTTGGGAGATGTGGGGCCTTGGCCCTTCCGCTGGCTAGGTATGTGATTCTGAATAGATGACCTAATTTAACGAGGCTTCAATTTCCTGTGAGATCATGGACTAAAAGATCTCAAAGGACTTGATTAAAATAATCAGATGTGATGAAATGCTTTTTCCTATGGAATTCAAAACTCTTGTGCCACCAAGTAGCCATGTGTTGTGTGTGTATGTCTAAGTCCTGATACCACCCAACTAAAACTTAATCAAGGCACTAAATGAGTCCCTGTAAACTGATGGCATCTGGCGTCAAACCCAGGCACTTTCAAGGGAAGGAGAGTTGGACGGGAGGGCAGAGGTGACCTCAACAGAGATTTCAAGGTTAATTCTCTCTTGTACAATAGACTTTGATTTGGCAATATCCTGACTAAGCTGAAAGATAACGAGCCGCAAATCACAGGAAGAAAAGGGGTCATTTCCTTGTAAAACAACAGTAACTTGAAAATAATTGGCTACAGGGCAATAGAGCGTTCTGCCAGGCTGACTTCAGAGCTGAGAGACCCAACTATAGAGTTCACAGTGGTATCAATAACAATAATCACAATGTGACTATATGCATAGTGCTTTCAACTTTTATAAATACTTTCCCATTTTTTTCATTTTGTCATTACACAATTTCCCAGGAAACTGCTATGGGGTTAATTTCTTTTAAAACTCTGAGAAAGGTGATTTTTCATGGGAAACAAGTCTAGCAAAGTATGCTATGCCTTGCTTTAGAAATACAGATATGCCTCTGAAAGAGTTATTCGTAAATATAGTTGCATAAGTCATATTTTAATGCACTAGGGGAATCTGAAAAATCTTGTATAGGATTTTTTAATGTAAATAAATTCTCGTTAATCTGTTGTTTGCTACAACTTTGGAGTTTAAAATATTGCAGGTTTTCTTAAAGTTGGGCCACATGGATTAGATTCTAGGATCAGTATCTACTCCCCAGAATCCCATAGGAGTGAAGTCTAATTCAGTCTCGGGGAGTGATTGCTGCCTATGATGTCAGCATGGAAAATAAGCTGCTTTGTACTTTAGCCATGGATCTCTTTGGAGCTGTCTTTCCCAAATAAAACAAGGAAACATGGGAAGAGACAGAGAATTCCAAAAGCAACAGCTGAATTATTTCTACATGAATGTCTCCAGGTCCTTTGTGAGCCACTGATGTATTATTAATGGCTGTTATAAATAACTTGCCATCAATAACTAATCTATAGGACAGTAGTTGATGGTTGGGATGTGAGGTTAACACTACATACTTTGGAGTAGATCTATTATCACTATTATGTAAATAAGTACCATCCTCTGGGACTAGAATCTGAAATAAATTGGACTAAATAGAATTTTTAATAAAAGTAATAAACCTGCCTGCTTTTTATTCACTATCCACAAACTCTAATAGAAGACAGCCCTTTGGAGCCAATCACAAGATTGTAAAACTGCCTTAACTTCAACTTTCTCCTTCTGAAATTAAGCTAGCAGTGTCTACTTGTTAAATCCACAATGACAATGTGAAATTTTTATAATTAGTTTGCATAGGGAGGTGGTGAACAAGCAAACATATATACAACTATATATATGGTTGAATTATTGAGAATAAAGGTACAAGCTCTTTTTTTATTGGGGAAGGAAGAGTGATTCAAGCTAGAAGAACTGCAAAACTCCTCATTACAAGGCTGGAAGCCCACAAAAAGAAGTTTTATATTGGCTTGACTAAAGGAAACCTGGCCTCTCATCTTTATTGGTTAAATCTTAGCAATACAGGCTTACTTAATATGAGTGTCTTAGATCTTCTTTAAAGAGCTGTGAAGTTAAGCCTTAGGAAGTACGTTCTCACAAATGCTCAAGCAGTTAAATTTGAGCTTCTGTGAAACAGAGCTAAAATAAATAAATATATATAAATATACAGTGTATGTATATACAAAGGCTACAGGTAGATATATAGGCACTGCTGACAAATATGCTAGTAATTATGCTATATGCCTCCTTGATGTGTGCATGCGTGTGTCTATGCATACACGTGTCCATTGTATGTGTTAAGATCATTCAGAAACTCAAAAGAAATATAATGAAAATCCAGTTCTTATTTGCTGAAATGTTCTTGAAATCTTACATGGGTTCATGGCTTATAATTTTTTAAATGTAAATTTAGGGCTAATCATTGGAACAGAATAAGCAGCTGTAAACAATATCACAGTTAGGATTTAACTAAAACACGGACAGGGTCCCAAATATCATAACTATTGCAGAATACGGGATTTACAAAGCCAAGTACTGTGATTAAAATACTCTGAGAATAAGCAATCTTTTTGGAAAGAGGTGGGTAGATGAAACTAATGAAGTGTTTCCATCTGTTAGTTCACATCAGCACCTTGGACAGTTCCAAGAAGGCTTTCTCCCTCAGAAGGGAGCAAATACCACTATTTGTCTAGTTTTCTAAGTGCTCCATTCATTCCAGTGTGTCGATCTGATGATCAACTAATAAATGCAGACATATTACTGTGTGATAAAAACTTATTCTTTCCTCTCCCCATCGCCCATTCTTTCACCACCCGTTTCCCCAGCACAGCAGGAGTTTGTCTTACGACCACCTGGTGTGGATGTTTTCACTCCTACTTCTAATTGGTTGGGAAGCAGCATTTGCCACAGGCACTGTTTAATTTCGTTTCTATCCCCTGCATCTCACAGGAAAGAAATGGTCAATAGTTCAGATAAAAGAATCATCCTGGTCAGCTCCAAAATATGGCTACTTGCATGGTAATCACAGCAAGTCTGTCAAATCAGTGATTTCTTTATTCCTAAGAGGAAGGGATTTTTCCTAAGGATTATGGTTCTACCACCCAAGGAGCAGCCCTACTCTTCAAAAGTGGCTGCAAAGGCTGGCAAACCAAGAGGTCTGCTTTGGCTCAGAAATTCAGTTTGGCTCCTGCCACCCTGGGTACCCCTCACTGCATGTCTCAGAAGCATGTGATCCACACACAGTCAGGCCAGTCTGCTTCTACTTAGGAGGGATCACAACCAGAGGTGGACCCCGCTTGGGCCTCCACATGAGGACCTGGGCATCATTGGCATTGGGTTTCACTAGTGCATTAGGGGGGATGGGTTCCATCCGGCTCAGGATCCGGGGCTGCTCCTGCTGAGTCCTGCCCACCAGCCGGGCCCGCTGCCCCAAGAGCTGAAGAGGGTCCACCTCAATGTCCACCCTCATCCTCCACTTGATGGTCTGCAGAATGATCTTCTCCTTTGTGGTGGTGTTCATGGCCACCAGCCAGGTTGTGAAACTTTGGTCTCTCTTGATTCTTGTGAGCAGCGGCACATTGCTGTCGCTCACAGGCACTGCCCATGTCACACTGGGGTAGAAGTTGTCATTCATGCTGACGGAGAACCTGGAGATCTTGTTGGTGGGGCCAACCAAGGTCACAGTTTCTGTGGTGTTCCCGTACCAAGGGTAGCTCACCCCATCTGAGTCACTGATGGCTTTTACTCTCCCTTCCCTCAAGTCAGGCAGTTCCCAGCTTGACCTGGCAAAGCAGAAGACATGCACAAGAAAAGAGGCTGAATGAATTTTTCAGAAGCTGGAGAGGTGCTCACTGCTTACTAACATAGTCAACTTGGGCAAAATGGGAAGTTCACAGGGGGAATTCAGGTCAAAAAGTTCTATGATGTGCTGTTTCAGAATTAAATGAGAACAAACCAAAATAAAAATAACAAAGCCATGCCAAAACAAGTTAAATACAACCACGGCTGACCCAATTGAGAACAGGAAGCTCAAAGAGGCAGTTGTGAGACCACACAGAGACATCAACTAGTTAGATGATGGTAATCGGCAGTTTAGAGGAATTCTTCTGCAAGAAGCACTTTCTTGGAAATATGAGTGTGAGTAAGGCTTGTTTTTTGGAAAGAAATGCTGGTTGAAATTCGATGTACCTGGAAGGCAGTATCTGGAGGAAAGAAGGGCAAAAGGAGGCAAAGTTAAAGGTTATACTAATTTCTTGGGAAATCACAGTAATAGAATTTCTACTCAACAAAGAGGGTTGTTTAGCTTCTAGGCATCAGCCAATCCATCACTTAGAAAACACAGGCATAGAAAATCTAACACAAGGAGATCATGGTCATCTTCTGGAAACCATCTGAATGTGAAAGTTGTTCTAGAGGGTGGCATACACTCTAATGCACTGCCTTCCCATTGCCTTCCAGTCCAGCCTGGAAGTCTCATAGCTTAGTTTCACAAACTTGCCGTTCTGGTACCTACATACTCCTCCTGGCTGCCTCTGACCTTATACAGAAGGAGGAACCAGTGTCTCTTCCCCCTGCCATGGACTGTTGCTAATAATTGACGATACTTACTGAGTGTTACTCTATCCAAACCAATGTGCTAAGTACATTACCTCAGTTAATATTCAAAATACTCCACAATACAAATTTTTATTTCCATTTTACACATGAGGGGATGGAGGCTTAAAGATGTTAAGGTACATGACAAAGGTCCTACAGAATGCAAGAGGTGAAGCTGGGAGTTGTCTGACTTCCAAGTCCATGGTTTTGACCACTATATCATACTGCCTTCCAAAGTACCCTGACACAGTGCTGGAGGAAGCCAGAGTGGCGAGAACTCAGGCTGTCTAATGACTTGGCAGCTCCAGGACCAGTCATGGAGAACTGGACTGGACCCCAATAAAGGCACAAGTCTAGTCAGCAGAGTCTGGCTATGTATTCTCCATATTTTCACTGCAGGGACCAGGGATGGTGCTAGGTAATAATGGACTAGAATTTAATAATTAAAGAAATGATACTGCTTCATTCATCAGCTAAGAGGTAGTGGTCTTAAGTTTGATATAAAGTTCTTCCTCCTATGAAGTGACGGAGGATCCTGCAGGGTTTTATACAAGTGGTCTAAAAGGGAGATACATTGTCAAGCTGGTGCTGATTAACATCTCCGCATCCCTTACTGTCACGTGGCTATGGAGATATTAACCACTGCCTCCAACTGGCCCCCCACAGTACCTCCTATGCCAGTCAGCCCCAGCCTGAAGTGAAGGGAGGGCTTGGCTGCCTGGGGAGGAAGTGAGCCCACAGCTGCAAGAGCCATTTCTCTTGTCATGCCCTTGGTAGCTGCTGGGAATAATTGCAGTGTATCACGGTTGGCAGACACTAAGTAAGGAATTGACCTGATGCAGAAAGTCAGAGCTCATTTTGCATATGCTTTTGCAGCTGGGGGTAGTAGCTCCCAGGTAATTCTATGCCATTTCTTACTGTACAAAAGGGAGTGTATGTTGTTTGAGTGGGTCAGAGGCTGGGCAGAGACCCAATCTGCTCATTGGGTTTGTGAAATAACCATACTGGAGTCGGTTTCATGCCCCCATGCGAAGGGCTAAGACAGTTCTTCAGTCACAATACATCTATTTTTTGTGTTGCCTAAATCTTGTTTTTCATTTCGGTTGTGACCAGTCCCTACTGGCCTTTCAGTTCTTCTTTAGGACTGGAGGGCGGGTATTCCCAGCAGTGGCAGATTGTTCTTGCTCTCCCACCCTACACACTGGGCTTACTGTGGCATATTGCCTGGGGAATTTGGTTTTGAGTGGATGTACTTTCTATTCTGTTACAACACTGTCCTTTTCAGGGGTGGCTATCTTGCTGGTGGGTTCAGTGACTTTGTCTATAGAGCCTTTATAGTTCCCATATTTTTGCCTCCCATCTTCCTGCCCAGAGCTGTGTGAGCAGAGACTTGGGGCAAGGGTCTGCAAGTCAACCTTGTAAGACAAATCAAAAAACTTCGTTTGGTCTCGGGTTTTTTTTTTTTTTTTTTTTTTTAAACAGAGATAATACAATAAAGGCACACTCTTGTGGCTTAGTAGAGAAGGAAAAGATCCTTTTTCTTGGAGGGGCTTCTAGAACAGAGAAATACAACAGGCTTCTTAACATCACATCAGAACAAACAAATCTGGCCACATGCAGTCATTGGGAATAGTGACCCTGGAGGTTACACTTTAGCTCCACCTACACGGCTGTTACTTCTGCAACTGTAGTTTTGGGAATTCCTCAGGTCAGAGGCATGCTTTCTTCCATAGCCCTATGGAACTAGGATTATATCACCAAGGGATGATTTGATTTTGGAAACAGCCAAAATTCATGATGATTTAAGTCTAGTGAATAGGGAGTTGCTTTCTACTTGAAAAATATCAAAATTTTCCTTTATGAAAAAGATACTAATACATACCCCAAGGCAGTGTCCTTCCCTTCTTCCCCGTCCCTCCCTCTCCCCCTCCCTTCCTTTCTCTTTTTTGTTTTTCCCAAACAGTTATGTCTATAAAATGCATGACTGGTTTATGTAGCTGATAAAATGTCTTTGGTAATGGTTTTTTGAGAAGTCTCTGAAAAGTTCCAAGAACAGTAGCACTATTTGAGTCACTCAATGACCATTTAAGGGGACTACTTTGAGTGGAATGCTGGAGGCATTTCAAACTCCATATGGCTCAGGCTGAACTCGTCATTTCCAACATAAACCAAGCCCTCTTCCCCTGTCTCTGCTGCAGGGGAAGTGCTGCCCACTGCTCATCAAATCTTCCAGGTCAGAAGCAAGGGCCATCTTTGGTTCTTCCCACACCCTCTGCCACAGTGACTGTATCACTGCATCCTGTGAATTTTTCCCCATAAGTTATGCTTAAATTTATCTCCTTTCGGCTGGGTGCAGTGGCTCACGCCTGTAATCCCAGCACTTTGGGATCATGAGGTCAGGAGATTGAGACCATCCTAACACGGTGAAACCCTGTCTCTACTAAAAATACAAAATAAAAAATTAGCTCAGTGTGGTGTCACATGCCTGTAGTCCCAGCTACTCAGAAGGCTGGGCAGGAGAATCACTTGATTCCAGGAGACGGAGGTTACAGTGAGCCGGGATTGAGCCACTGCACTCGAGCTTGGGCAACAGAGTGAGACTCTATCTCAAAAAAAACAAAAAAACTTTTCCCCATCCAACTTTACTGCCTTCACTTAATCCAAGCCCTCAGCATCTCTTACCTGGTTTCTGTAAGGGTGCATAGCTTACATGTATGTAGGTATTGATGGCATGTATATACTTACATGTATGTAGGTATTGATTGGGTGTCTCTCTGCACCCAACTCGGGTCCCTCTCAAATCCAACTTTTAGGCTGCCCAAGTGTTCAAACATGCAAACCTGATCATGCTCTTTCTATACATAAAATCCTCCCAAGGCTTTTCTATATGGACATTGTGGGCATCACCCACAGGGTAAAATTCAAGTTCCTCAATAGGACATACATGGCTCTCCATCATCTGGCTCCCCATCCCCAAACACTGTGCTGTTTCTCACCTCCACCGCTGTGCCCTCTGCCTATGCTGTTCTTCCTCCTACTCAAGTTCCACTGTATCTAACTACTCATCCTCTGAGAGTTACCACATGCATCGCCGCCTCCTCCATAGATATATCTACATCTACAGGTGTCAGATTATAACGGTTTAGTGTCTTCCCCATTAGATTACAGGTTTCTTGAGGCTTGGAATTATGACTTATTTTTGAATCATTAGTGTCTTGCACATAAAACAATACTATTTATTGAAAAAATAAATCTTTTATTTGAATTATTTTCATGACTATATTCCTGGAGCCTGGCAGAACTTATATACAACAAAGTATTTCATTACAGTTTTATACTTTATATATTCACTCACCTTTAAAAAAAAATCTAACATCTACCATCCATTTAGACTCTATTATTAGAATAGTACCATGCCTTGCAATAGAAGTTACTTATCCTTAGGAGGAGGAGACAAGCCACACTTAAATGAAACTGAATGAATCAGTGAATATGAATGTATTTTAGTGACTACCCATGCCATCAATACCTACATACAAAAATGAGTGTCAGAGACTCCAAGTGATACAGCAACTTAGAGACATGGATAACCATGCAGGCTACAGCAAGGGGAAAGCTTTGTGAAGGGAATGGGATATGAACACTTTGGAATAGAGACAGGCATTCCAGGTGGGATACTGCATCGTAGGCTGCAGTGTGATACCAAGCATAAATGTGGAGTGTCCAAGAAACAGAACACTGGGAAGAGTGAAGACACTGCTGGGTGGGCAGGATAGTTCAGTTTGTAAAGCAACTTCAATAATGGGCTTAGGCACCTGGGCTGCATCCTAGAGGGGGTGAGACTTTTGCTCAGGAGAGTTAACTGTGAGGAAGATGAATGAAAAAGGATTAGAGGGCTAAAGGGAGGGAACAAGGATGTTTAGGAGCTTCTGCAATGCTACAGGTGATCTTTAAGGAGGGCTTCATCTAGACTGGTGGCTGAACAAGTGGACAGGAGGTGCCACATATGAGATATTACAAAGGTAGATTCTCCTAGCTTTGGTAACCAATCTCCTGTTAGAAATGAAGAGATAAAAACAATCACTCAGAAGAGCCAAGTATGGTTGACTGTGTGTGTGTAGAATCATTCACAGAAGTAACCAGGCTGTGGTCTCACTGTTCCTGACATTTTGCACCCATCCCTGAA